AATAAAAAAATGCAAAGTCACACAGGTCTCATCCTCTCTTTCTTTATACCTCACTGTGGCAGCCGGCATCAATGGGACATTTGGCGCTGCAATTAGCACCGGCCTATTCGTGGATGTGGAGACTTCCACCAGTGCTCAGATGGGTACAATTAAAAAGCAGATGCCACTCTAGCTAATGGGGTGTGTATGTGTATGTGTGTGTGGACGGGGGCTGCTTGGTAATATAGACAGGAAAACAGGAGGTGGCATACGATGGGAACCAATGCAAGTGGAGCTACGTTAGCACTAATCTAGTAGGCTCCCTGCTGCTACAGATCAGATAAGAAGGATGCTATCCCCGACCCCAAGGGGCTGGAGGCTTGCTGAGGAGCGGAGATATATACAAAAACAGGGAGGGAGGAAGGTGGAAGAGGGGATGGAAACTGGGAGTCCACAAGGAGAGATTTGCTGAAAGATGAGCTGGAGGTGGATGAGGTAGAGGGTGAGCATGGTGTACAGTTGAAGTATTGGTTTCACAATTTGAAAAAGCATCTTTTTTATTAACCACTTTAACTTTCACAGCTTTAATTTCTTAAATCTTAATTGATTGTTTAGTCACTTGTGAGCTGTGTAATAAGCTGACAAAACAGCACTGACATATAGTTGACATGTCAAATGTGTTGGACAAACACGTACCTTTTGCACCTGTCCACCTAATGAATGTATGTCAAATATTAATGTTCCTTTTAGCTCTGTTTTGGTCGCCATTGACCGTCTCTTTTGCACCAGCTAGCTGCTAACTGTCTGCTCTTTGCTGCTGGGCAGGTAGCATACAGTCGGTCGGAGCTTTTTGGCTGACAGTGACAACACTGGCCTGTTGCTGTAAATGACTTTAATTCGAGTGATGAAAGTGAACCAAAACAGTAAAGGTGTGGGTCGCAAAATAAAAACAATGGGCTAAAATAGCTAACATATTCTGTAGAGCTAAGGGGACTGCAGATTTATGTGCAAATCCATCACTACAACAGAACATGTTAGTCATTTGACCTGTTTTTAGTATGAAAATATGGATGAGTGTGGCTTCAGAGTGGATACATGTGAAAATGGAAGAAAACAGCTTTTTGAATGTCTGCCCGTCAGCAATGTTAAGACCTACTTTCTGTGACATCTAACTTTCTGTTTTGATGCTTATTGCCCAGGAAATAATGCTAGCCTTGGTTAACAAGTAGCATTAAAATACCTTTATCTTCAGAAACAGTGTTGGACAGACAAGGAAAAAGCTTTAGCCTGCTGATAATAAGGGCCGGATTTACAAACATCCCGAATAAAGAGCACTAAATTGTGTGTGCATTCTAAAACATTGCACTTGCAATTTTATTACCTGTTAAGGGTTATAAACTAAGAATTATTGCGTAGATGACAACAGGTGCAAACACAGTGGCGGTGGCAGTATTTAAATGAGGGTTTTGCGTGTTTTAATGGTTTCCGACATGGAAAGTTGGGAGGGAAAGCAGCCAATGCGTAAAAACCTTGGTTTGTCTCATTCAGTGCGACCTGAGTATGTGGAAATCGTATGTACCTGCCCATCCTGCCTAAGATAGCGCTAAGTACTTGGGACAGCACACCTTGGGAAACCCCCAGCAGAAACAGATACAGAATGCTGGAATGACCCTGAAGCAGATCGTGCCAGCAGATCGTGCTTCATCCAGTCCTTCATCCAACAATCACCAACCGTCCTCAGCATGTTTCCTTTCAAACGTATTAAATACATGCTATAAAAGAAATTGCTTTTAGGCTTGTTAGATCACATTGCGTGGAGTAAATAAATGTATTTGCATGTTACCCCCCCATTACTTTGCACAATAAAATTGAAATGCCCCAAATTGCATATTCATTAAGGCAAAAGTAGTAAATGAACAACAGGTGCTATCTTGTACTTTTGAAAGACGTCATTCTGCGTGCACACTGTTATTACATTTGGACACGTTTTTACTCACACAAACCTTTAGTAAATCTGGCCCCAAGGGGGTTATGCCATTGTCTAGAGGGTAGTATTCTATCGTTCAGTTATTTGCTATTAAAACAAAAGATATCATTCTGAATGCTCCCCACATATTTTGCGTAATGTTCCCTTTCTGACGCCTATGTTTGCTGCTAAATGCCATTAGCATTCCATTGAACTACACAATGGTTATGCTATCATTCTGTCTCATGCCTGACTCATACAACACATTCTCTGTAACTGGTTTACCCCACAAAATAAACAATGTTGCAATAAATAACATTGTGCTCAAACATTGATCCAACCTTACAGCGATAAGTGAGCATGTGAGAAACTTATGCCAGGAGGTAAAGAGCGGGAATGGAGGTGGGAGTAAGCTTGGAAGAGCACCAGTTACCGCCCCGGAGGGCGGATGCCTCGTGGTGGGCAGGAAGGTAGAAAGAGAGATGAGAGAAAGAGAAGGGAGAATAAATGTGAAGCTACAAGGAAGTCAAGAAAGATTACCAGTGATGAAGTAAAGAAGGGTAAATCAGTTTAAGGACTTCAGACAGGGCGTCATGTGTAAGAGGTTTAAAGGTGTGAGGGTGTGAACATAGAGGACAAGACAAGGGCACAGAGGGGAGCAGGATAAGGGTGAGATTTTGAGCTTCCAGTGTCATACTGCATGAGTGTGAAGCGGTTAAACGATAATAACTGCAGCAGGAGCAAGAGGAGAATCAGCACATTTCATTTAAAGTGTATAAGTGCCATGCAGTTCCTCTACCTCTCCTGGCAGTCTAGCATCCAACTGTGCTAAAACCCAGTCTCTTTCCCCCAAAAGACCTTTGTGAATTAAAAGCTGGCATCGGCTAGCTGGCTAGTTGTTTTTCAGCAATTTGGATTGACATCTTGGCCGTCCTTTTCTCCCTCTGAGGAGTAATAGTCTGTAATTATGCATATAATGTGTACATGTGCACAGGTGAGTGTGCACTATACTGCCTTCCTTGGAATTAGCCGTAAACAAACAAATAATTGTTTCTCTTTGATATTCTGTTTCAATTGCCGTGACAGTGCGGGCTCTCACAGTCTCCAAACACAGAAAGAATTTGTGGGCACGCTCAATAGGTCAGGTTGCAGCAAAAGTAAATTAGGCGAGGAGAGAAAATGGGCTTTCTGCATACTCAGGGTGCCTTAGACAGAAAGGTTAATGGCTTTATGAGATTGCAATGACATGTTATTGCAAACACCTCTGAGCAAACAAATTATTCGATTGTAATATTGCAGGCTGGAGGAGTTGTTGCAGCCTGTTATTAATGGAATTTTAAATCCACAGGCATGTGTACATGTGTGATATGCGTATGCATTATGTAATTCTTAACACGAATCTTCCCCTGTGGGTGTTGTGCTACAACTGTTAAATTTTCAGAGCTGTTCTCCTTTGAAAGTTGAGGCATAGAAAAAGAGAGCCCGAGGTCTGTCTGTAGGGGCCTATGACCCCGGAGGCCACATCATTGGGCCTTTTGGCTGGTTGCTTATGCGTAGAATTGCGCCACTCAAGCACAACCCACTATAATGGTGTTCTGGAGGCATAAAAACATTCATGAACATTGCAGAGGAATTCTCCATAGACCAGCAGCTCCCCCTGGGGCTCCACAGTTGCAAACTGACCTCTAACAACATATATCACAACTGTGTGTAGGAATGGATAGTGTGTGTTCTTCTGTGTTAAGGTAGAGCAAAAGGGAGGTCATGAGACATGTGTTTGCAACTGCAGATCAGTGTAGTCCAACAGTAGTCCATCAGTGACAAACCACAAGAAGTTAAAACAGAGGTGAGTGTGTGTGTGTGTGTGTGTGTGTGTGTGTGTGTATCATGGTGTGTGGCCTCAGCTGTCAGGTCTCCCTGGTGGGTCATTACCTCTGATGCTTGGCTAGGGTCTATCAAGTGTTAGACATCAACATCACCCCTGTACACGAAGACACACAAACACGCGCATGCACGCACACGCGCACACACACACACACACACACACACACACAGGCCCTCTACCTCCTCACCTTGGCCTGATGGGATATCACTGGGGGAATGTACATCCAACACCAAAGACAATTTGTCTTGATAGCCAAGATCGTAGCACCATGGCAATGTCTCTCTTCCTCTCTCCCTGCCTCATCTGTGTCCCTCAGGTAGCTGGATGTGTCCAAAGGTGAAAAGCACGACTGGCTGACATGATGTTTTGGCTGATTTATGACAGGATGGCTTCCCACATGAATGTGGAAGCAGCCTGTTTCCCTGCCTGTGGTTTATACGAGGAAGTGAGATAGTAGCACGAAAACAAGAGAAAAGTTTCATTTTCATTTCATTTTTATCCTATGAGCTGGGAATTCCTGGCAGGCGCCAGCCTGCCAACTGTGGATACATGGCTCTGCAGTGGGAGAGCGACTGAGGCAGATGTTTGGCTGTGTTATGACCCTGGTAATAAGACAGACATGTGGCTGTCCTGCATCCAGAGGAGCAGGTGCTGCCACCACACAGCCATTACCATCTGCACTGATGAGATCAGGGACTCAGCCATGCTGGATGTTAGATGGTTATTATCCCTTAAAGTAAAACATCGAATTAATAAATGTGCAAGCTGGTGAAGTCAGCAACCAACCCCCCACAAATATCAGTATCACATTCCTAAAGGGACTTGTAGTGATGGTTAGTGTGTGCGTATCCTAATCTTACTGTATGTTATATAATTTTTATCTTCTGTGGTATCAGTGTAAAATTCACTTAATACCCTATTTGGCACAGAAAGTACTGCTATGATGTTTATCCCTCAATGATTAACATGGTTAGCCTGCCATTAACCATTCAGAATTACATGTTCTCTGTGGTGAAAGGGTAAACTTTATATGATGAATGAAGAGATGGAGGGGAAAAACTGAGTTGAGGATCATAGAGGGATGCTTAAAGTGGTTGGGTGAATAGTGAAGGGATAGTGGAAAAGGAAAGATGCAGGGTGGGGGTGGGGGTTGAGGTGAAAAAAAAGGGCTAGTATCCCTTTAACGTCCTCTGACGTCATGCTGATGCAGATCTGCCCCGCTGGATGCGAGCGGAGGAGAGGAGGAGAGGGATGCCGAAAAAATGAAACTCCTCAGCACAAATTTTTCACATCCCTCTGCAGGAGTAGATGGACACCAACCTTAGGACGCCCTCTGTACAGTGGAGCGGTTTAACAGCCTCTGTTTCCACGACTGAGTGAACGTGAGCATGCTGTCCTCGCGACAGAAACTGAGGTAAACGCGACACATTTTTTTAGCAGAAAAAGCGACCATATTGAGGTCAGAGGAAAGCGTTGCCAAGACGACCAGCTTGCTAGGGAGGACACTGCAGCGCGCGCGTCACACGCCGGGAGCGAGCGTGCGTGCTTGCGAGGGTGCGCACGTGCGCGCGTACGCCACAGCTAGCCGAGGCGGTCACGGCGTCCACACAGCGGCAACGGCGGCAGCATCTTCTCACAAGACGAGCACCAGACGACCGCGCAGTCCACGTCCTCCCGTTACCTTTTTAGACGAGCTAAAAGCGAGCCGACGCTTGCACCGGGACTCGAGTCGGTGCTCGGCGGTGTCGGAGTGCTCCTCGAGGGGATTTATTGAGGATTTATCGACAAGGTCCCAGAAAAAAAACGCTCAAAAACTGAGTTGCTGCGACCACTGGGCAACACAGGTGACACTTCCCCGGCTGTCAAAACCACCGAAAGCCCGCCGACACGTCCGGGGAATTTTGGAGTTATTTTGTCGTATTAAGAAGGCCTCGATAAAAAAACGTACATTGTTGATTCGTGAGGCAAACTGGACTGTCAGCCGAGAAATTAATAAATATATTGCCGCGCTGGAGGAGAAGGAGAGCGTGCCGAGCCCGCCTGCCCGGATGGGGAATCATACAAGGCTATCTTGCTGTAGGTGGTGTGTAATGCAGTAGAGCGGTTGTATTTTTGGTATTCAGCCTCCACTGTCGTTGTCTCCAGTCATGAAGTCCCACCTGTCGGCCCGGTTAGGTTGAACGAGTTAGTGCTGTGGTGGGGCATTTTTGAAGGTTTTTTTGTATTGGTATATTTGTTAAATTTATTTTTAACAAGCACTTTTTTGTCTGCTTGACACTTACCACTGCTGGAGGAAGGTTAGCGAAGAGGACAAGGAGGAGAAAGAAGAAATCTCAGGAAAAAAAAATACATCACTGGGAATCTGGCCCCCCACCAGCACCCTTGGATCACAGATTAACAGGTAGGATGAGGTTTACATGGAGATGAGTCTTAACCGGAGAAATCTGAGAAACACACTAAAATCTGTCGTTTCAATTGATCATTTCCCCCAATTTGCATTCAATTTGCATTCTTAATGTGTGTGTGTGTGTGTTTTCTTTTTTTGGGGGGAGGGGGGGGTTGACACCTAAATTAAAAAATGCTATTAAGAAAGGAAGATCAGAATCAGAAAACTGGGGCTAAAATGAGGGACCTTTCTTTGCAAATGAGTTTTTAAAGCCTTTATGACATGTCATTAAAAAGATATTTTTGGAATATGAATAAATATACATGTTGTATGTATGGATCAATTGCCCACTGATCAAAGGCATTTGGAGTTGTCCAAAACATGTCTGGAATGAATGACAGGTTGTTGAGCAGTTTTGTGGCCAATCTGTTAAATTTTGCAGCATGTTTTTGTATGTCACATGTCACATGTATGTGATGTGCTGTGTGGCGATGTCAGACCTGTTGTGACTGAGTCGAGCTTCGTGCAGAGGTGCTGCTCCTTCACAACAGAGAAGATGTATCCTCTGGACCATTAATGAGGACTCAGACTCAGAGATCCTCTGGTGGAACGAGAGAGAAACAGAGGCTGCTATTCAGTCCGGCTGAGATCATTTCACTGTCCTGGTAACATGCAGAATTTGGAGCTTATTAATCAAAGTGCTTCGCTGAGGTTGCATCAATGCTGGATCAGTCATTGTGCATATGGCGATCATTGTGCATTTCTTTAATTGGGTATTGTCTGGAATAAGAGGGGAATTAATAGGAGTGGAATGGGCATTTTGCAGATGACTGAAATGATGCACACACAAAGGCCCCCATTCAACAGTTAAATCATCCTTCAACTGAATATGAGCATATTTACATGGGGTCTTTATACTCAAAGGACCCAGGAAACGCCAGGACCATGAGAACATATTACCCTAAATGCTCTCCTCCACATGCACACACACACACACACACACACACACACACACACACACACACACATACACACACAAGTAGATGCACACACACAGCACGAAGAATGGGGTGCATTTATATGCTGTGGCTGATGTTGTGGGGTATTCGGATCGGCAGGGCCTGCTAGATGATAGAATTCAGCAGGGACAAGTAGACCTCTGTTCTTATCTGCAGCGACAAGAAGGGGTAGGCAGCTCTGCTCGGCTCAGCTCGGCTTCTTTCCCTGGTTTAGGCAGCTAGCCTGACCATATAGCAGATAGGGACATCTCTGCGGGGAGAAAGCGTTTTAATGGAGGTATGGGGAGGGGAACTAAATGTGCGACTGTCCTTGTGCTAAATAGATGTTGTCACAGAGGAATAGTTATTTATCTCGATGGCGGCTGGCTGGGAACTTTGAAGACCTGTGGAGATGTTTAAGAGGGATAAAGATGGCACGCTAATGCAGTGTGTAGAATGATTGCAGGCGTTGGAGTGTGTGGAGAGAGAAATATGTACACACAGAATGGGAGAAAAGAATCGAATAGAGGGGGAGACGTCGTAGAGCATTTCTGCAGCAGTGCAAGATAGACTTGTCAGGGAGGCCTTCACAGACTTTATGTGTGTGAGAATCATGTATGTATTTTTTGTATCTCTGTATATGTCCCAACCAAATGCATGCAAGACCCTGTCAACACACTGCACAGCGCCACCCATTCCCTGGCAAGGTGTGGCAAAGCTGGAGGCAGATGGGGCCGAAGCGATCAAAGCGCATTCTCGGGTAGATTGATGGCTCCTCCTGTGTGTTGCTAAGCAGTCAGATACAGGCCAGTGTTGTGACAGGGTGGGATGAAATAGCCATCACAATCCCACTGTCACAGTCCTCAGAATCCCTACCTGTGCGTCTACTGCTGCTAATATTATCCCTCGCTATTTATTTTTACTGGAGATAAATCAGTGACAGTAGACGAGTCATTGCGATGTTTTCTCACTGTGGAGATGACAGCAGTTGCTGCTAATATTAGGTGAGAGATGTCATCTGTGCAACAAATCGTCAGCATTATGGCAGCTGACATGTTGACTGGAGATCTGGAGACCCGACTGATGAATGCTGGTGAAATTGAATGTTTGTTTAGCAAAGTCGAAAATGAATTAGTAAAGCCAAAGCTGGCTGAACACGCAAGTCCTCAGGGAGGCGCTGTTGTTAACGTCTCCCTTCTGTTGTGGGAAGCTGAGGAAGGCAAACAACGTGAGTGTGAAGGTGGAGAAATGTATTTGTATTTGCTGGCATCGTTTTATTTCCCCAACAGCGAGAATTTCTCTTCTCCTTTTCAGCCAACTCGAAGGTCCCAAACTGTGCAGTTAGTGGTTGTTGTAATAGACAGGATATTAAATAATTGTGGGAACCTGTTTGCACCTTTGAAGAATCTGTCTACAAAAGGTAACTGAAAGCAATGTGTTTTACAGACACATACTTAATGAACACCTTATTTATGGAGGTAACACAGAAATCTGTCTTCTTGGGTCTACTCGGGCTACGAGTGGATGTTCAATATTTCGGCAGATTCTATAAAAACACACAAACCTTGTTTTTTTTCTGCTTTTCTAGTAGAAAATACAGCCGATTAAATGCAATAGCCCTACAATGTATGCTCTTTTTATACAGGAAGGCTTGGTAATTGACAACAAGCTGTGCACAATAGGAATATGAGTCTCCCTCTTCCCTGAGCACTTGTCTGCCCATATAATGACCCAGTCTTTTACATGTGTTCCTTGTCATGTACTACTCTTCACCCATTACATGAATTCATCTTTTGAACTGCTTCCCTCCTCTGTGAAGGACAGTAGGCTTTTGAAATACCATATATGCTCTGCATGACTTTTTTTATCGCCTTCATTCCTGCATTCATTTGTTTCTCTTCTCCATCCACATGTGGCCGACTCATTTATTTGATTCCAAGGGAGCCCGTCTTGTTGGGTTTTTTTTGTGAAGAGTGTGTGTCGTTGCTATGGCAGCATCTTTTTGGAAGGGGAAGAGCCCCGCAGAGGCTTTAAACCTGAAGCTTTTTGTTTCATTTTCCCTGGGTTTTGCGTGTGTGCTCCAGCACGTGCCCGTGTATATAAAGGGTGCAGGACTGATCAAAAAACCACTGATATCACCATATCGACTGCTGCAATGTCCAAATTGCTGGAGGCTGCATTTTTTTCTTTATGATAAAGCCCAGTAAACAGTGTTCTATGGTGCTGTGCAGAATCCCGACATGAAATCGTTACGACCAAACACTTGATTACATTCAAAATGAGCTAGCCTAAGCATTAGCATGTCTTCCTTGCGCCAGTATTTTGCAGCTGGGGGAAAAAAAGCATAGTGCATAAGTTGACTGTCTGTTTTTTTGTAATATGATGCATGTGATGTGTGTGGTGGTGAATGCTATTGTTCTCTGGCAATTTTCTATTTATAGTTATTGGAAGAATAAAGGTAATAGATTATATTATGTTTTTGAGGATAGTTCTCTGAGACAAGTACCTCCAACTTTCCACCTCAGCCTGTCAGTGTGTCCGTTTTGTTGTGATTCTCTTAGAGTGCTGGTCTCCCACAGTCCCTCCACAGTGGCCCATCTCTTTCCTTTGCCTGAGCCTGTTGAATAAGATCTTTGCTCTCTGGGGTGCAAGATGGAGAAGAGGGGTTAGAGCCATTACTTGCCATTCTTCCTCTCTCTCTTAGCCTCAGTCTTCCTCTATTTTCTGCAGCCTATTGCTGTATTTTCTACTATTTTATTTGTCTTATTGTTTCTGTCTCCCATGTCTTTCCCCCACACACCCACTCCAAACATTTCTTCCTCGGTCTCCTTTGTCTGTATTCAAACGCCCATATTGTCAACCTGAGATGAGCAGCACTGTAGTGTCCCCAGTGGGCTCATTAAGGTTAAATCAAGGTCAAACCCTCTCTGCCACATTTCGATGGAACAAAACCCGATGTTCGCTTCCCGAGTCTCCATCCAGCAGCAGCAGCAGCAGCAACCTTCACATGGGCTCCCCTCCCATCTCCTGCTAGAACTAGACTGACCACCGGCCAGGATCAATGAACATTTACTCCTCTTTTCTTCAAAGAGATAAAATCCAAAGGCCGTCACAGAGACAGCAAGAAACCACACAGAACACCCATCGGCCAGCTCCGTACTGGTAGCTGCCCTCTCATGTTTGACAGTGCAGGACGTTGGATCCAGCTCCACATTCCCTCTGACAGTTGAAAACCTGAACAGATTAAAACCACTGTTGAGTGATTTTTCAACACATAATTCCATTCCTAATAGAGGTGCAAGGCTACAATGGGATTTCATGCTTCTGTGTTGCAGAGTCAGGCCCTGAATAGAAAGCACGATACAGATTTGATCGAATCAACAGCACCGGAGTCAGCAACAGCCGAGATTAAATACATCCTGCTTTCTGGCCAATCAGATTGACTGACAGTTGGAATACTTGCTGCTGTGAGCAGTGCAGCTCATCCCTCTGGCAAACTGAGTGACTTCCCTGTATTTCTCTGGTGCATCCATGGGAATTCTACCTGCGTGCATCAGTGTTGTCCTTAATAACCCTCTGCAATCCTTTTCATAGTCCAGGGATTTTATACACAAATCTCACAGCAACATAACTTTGGAGATTACTGTGTTTATGAAAAATACTGTTTTCTGTCTGTTTACTGTCTTTCACACACACAGCACTGTAGTGCATATTTGTCTCACAAGCACACACAGCTTATTGCTATCGATGGGGACGTGGATAAATTGAGTGAGTTATGGTATTGACAGCATCTCAAGGTCAGGAGTAGCCACATCCTCACGAGGACTCCACAGTAAACCCTCAGCATCGCAAACAAGCTCCGGGTCAATGGGTCCTGGAGACAGGCAGGTAGGGAGGCCGCTATTTCTGCCACTTTACCCCAGACACATACAGAGCGAGGAGGAGAGAATGTGCTCTGAAAGTCAAGTGACCGCGGATGTCACATGAAATGGAAAAGAGCGGAGGTAGCAAGCTGAA